AATCATTCCATCAACACTCACATATCACATATCAGAAAGTTTTAATAATAAAAAAATACGGTTTAATACTAATTCCATGAAGATAATAATATTCACGTAATCATGCCGTCGATATACTCTATATTGTATTAGCTAGTTGTTTGATAATACAGAATTTTTATTTTATCCTCTTCAATTTCAATTCCATAAAGTTATCGATATCCAAGGTCATATCATAATCCTTAAACAGCCCGACGATTATATGTACGGTCAACCCTTGATAAAATAAAATAGCATTATACGAGTCATTACAAATTCATTCACAAATTTAAATTATTAGAGTAATATATTTTTTATTAATATTTATTATAGTGGCGAGAATAGAAAATTTTATGATTTATGCAATAAAGTTCGGTTGGAAATGGAGTGAAGAACAAGTATCATTACGATCATGCGCTCTTTTAAGCTATTTACCAACACATTCAAGTAAATAAATTCATAATTAGTATCATAGGCTGTTTGGGATAGACTACTCAGATATAGTGTTTTATCTAGAAACACATTATTAGATAGAATAGATAGAAATATAGGTAATATCAGGTATATTACTTGAGTATGTAAGTCGAATTAGATATTATTATATAATAAAATTCTTATTAATAACAACTAGCTGAATCTAAAGTCTTATATATTCTTCAAACAAGTGTTAAATAATCTTATTAATTTATTTGTTATCATAAAAAAAATAGCGATTCTTACATTATTAACGAATTTAATAATGGATTTAGAATTCAACTTAATACTTATAGTTTGAGATCAGTATGAAAAATTTAATGCATGGTATTCAAATTATACAAGAGCTGCTATATTATTTGTATTTTTATCTAGCGCGAATATTGATGTGTTACTGATATTAAGATTTCATTTTAGATCGATGAAAATATTTTTGGGGGATCTTGTATTGGCTTATTTCTAGTTGACATGCCACAATTTATCATTCAGATATGTTGAAATAAATATAAATTTCATTAATTAATAACTTAATCTTGTTAACAATGTAAGTTTATATTAGATATTATTCGTTCATTATATTGTCGAATATGATATTATTCCATCGTTTGCCTTAATAGCATCAGGTCTTTCAGAGCTTTTCGACACAATTAGTAAGTTATTCTTTATTAAATTAAAGCATGTTTATTATACATAGTAGATGATCCAAATGACAATTAATATGAAAAATTAAATGAATCTCTTGTATTATGCCATTTACCGTTGTATAAGTATAGTATCCTCAAAATAATAACCTACCACATAAAGTATCCCTTCTCTGCCAACAGAATCTTGAATCCGTGAATAGTACCCTGTACTAATCAAATGAGACCCTGGGTATTATATACAGTGGTAAAAATAGGGCTGTTAATGGAGTATTATACTCTGGAGTTACAACCACTTCATCCCAGTGTAGTTTATATATTACACTACTCAAGATCATTGTAAAATGTTGGGAGACTTGTAATGGAATCCCAGTAGTAACTACAGTGGATTTCATCTAAAGCCATCACTTTTTAATTATAAAATTTTTTAAATTGTTATAACTTTTTAAAAACAAAA